TTATTGCCTTTGTGACAAGGAGAGGTCACTTTGCTTCACTAAGGTCTACGAAACAGCTTCCTGTGGTAAGGGAAATACAGGCACAGGACGACAACATACGAACAGCCCCCGCCGTCATCGTTGACAAACTGAGATAGAAAGGTACCGTAGCCAGATGTTTCGGCCCAGATTCTATTAAAGTTGTTTTTATACCAACAAAATGTGTCTTATTCTCTTAAATACAAAAGAGATGTCCAGAACGGCCCTACGAACAGAGTCGGGCAATTTTATGTCAACTGGGTAACCCATTTAGGCGTATCTGAATACGACAAGGACGTGACCATCAACAGTGCTGTACATAGACTCTAAAACAACGGAAAACTAAAATATAAGGCGCTTGAGAGAATATGTTTCCCTTTATGCTGTGATCTGCACATGGTATCGATCGAACTGGGTCCACATGTTCGCCGATAGCAGATGATCATGAATCCTGATATGTTTCACAAAAATGAACATCGGAGTTTCACTGCTAGTCCATGAGCTGTCCTAATTCCGTGCGACTCTGGTTTTTAAAGGGTTCGACTGACAAACGTGGACATGTTATCTATTGGTTCTGGGTGTCAAAACAAAGCGTCACAGCAGACCGGTAACAGTCACGGGCCAATAAAATTTTCTTAATATAGAACCCCGACTTGTTCTCTCAGCTGTCACTTCTGAATCTTTGAATCGGTCGCAGACTATTGAAGTATGGTATGTACCATGTGCATATCAAATAAAAGGATGCACAGACCAAAACGTTAAGGTCGTTATCACTTTAGGCGGTTGTATATACAGAGGAATAACGCTGCCGTTAGAATGCCCGACGACAAGACATTGCGGTGATAACTGAAAGTGAGCAGATCTGAAGTACGGCTTAGTCATTGAATAAGGTAAATGAAGATTCCGTAACGAAATACGCTTGGTATTTAACGGAGATGAAAACACACGACACAAACCGATCCGAAAGGCTGACTCCAAGTTGTCTCATTATTACTATCATTTT